CAAGAGATTTTGTAGTGTGCAACAGAGGTTTAAAAAACTCAAAAAATTAAAAAAAAATTTTTATTTTAATGAAAAACACAAAAGAATCTCTTTTTTGGACTATACGTAGCTATTATCGATTCATTTGCTTAGTGACAGCACATTAGAGATCGGTCTGGATCTGGATCCAGTCTGGATTTTTTCTGGATCCAGAGTCAAGATCCAGGCATTTTTTGATCGTTCTGGATTTTTTCTGGATCTGGATTTTTCCTGGATCCAGATCCAGAATCTTGTCCAGGGTACTAACCCAAATCCAGAATCCAGATCAAGATCCAGACGATTTTTATGTCTGGATTTCCTGGATTAAATTTGACCAGAAAGTGACCATGCGGCTCCAAAAATGGCAGATATCTGACTTCTTTCCCTTTCAAATTTCAAAAATTTTCGCCTGCGGCGCTAAAAATGAAAGAAATTTGGCTAAATGTTCTTCCAGAAGGGTAAACTCCAAGGTAACGCAGACCAAGGTACTTGCTCTCTTACAAAATTTTCAAAATTTTATGGTGGATGGTGGATTTCTAGACCAAATTCCTCTACCTTTCGTCAATGATGCACGGATCAGTCCTCCTTTATACATATACCTCGGTTCAGTCTTAATGAGAGGATATAGAGGGATTAGAAGTGATTAAGAGGATTGAGGTAACTAACAGATAAAAATGGATTTGCGAGGATTAAAAAGGATATAAGAGGATTTGTGAGGTTTAAGAGAATATATGGAATTAAAAGGATTTTAAGGAGATATTGAGGGATTTTTAAGATTAATCGGGATATCGGTGGATTTGTGAGGATTAAGATGGATATCTTGAGATATATGGGGATAAAGAGGGATATCTGAAGATTTTGAGGGATATACGGGGATTTTAAGGGAATAAGAAGATATCGGTGGATTAATTAGGATATAAAGTGATTTGAAGTTATTAGGACTGTTATTGATGGTTTGGGCATTAGTATGTATATCAAGGGATTTGGGGGATTAAGTGAGCTATTGATAATTTCAGAAGAGTATCAGGGGATTTGGAGGGATATCTAATGATTAAGCCGGATATCTGTGGATTTAGAAGGATATAATTAGATTTAGAAAAAAATCCAGAAATCCAGGCTGGATCCAGACCAAAAAAATCCTGGATTTTTTCTGGATCTGGATTTTTCCTGGATCCAGATCCAGAATCCTGTCCAGGCTACTAACCTAAATCCAGATCCAGAATCCAGATCCAGGATTTTCAAAAATATCGATCTCTACAGCACATACATAACTGACTTTGTTGACAGACATGAGATAGCATTAAGAGGAGAAAGACCCATAAAGGATATTCAAGGCAGGATGACATTTACGGGCCGACATAAAATATCCTTTCCTTTGATTATTTTAATCGTTTTCTACATCTAAACAGATGCTTATGTACACTGATTTCGTTATCCGGATATATAGGGCGGAAACAGTCGGATATCCCAGGCACCTTGATTTTATCTGTATCCGTATCCATGAGCAGGTCTGCATCTAAATACCCTTTGTAGTATTATTTATTAATTTTAGTTTATTTAAATAATGAATGAAGTATGGAAATTTGTTAGTGTGCCAAATTGTGTTTTGACATCATTTGAGAATGAAGAAATTTAATATTGCAAATTTAAAAATAATTTTAAAAAGTATTCTTTGTTTGTTAAAATAATAGTTTTAAAAATAAAACGAAAATTATTTATCTTTTAAAATAATTTTTAATTTTAGAATTATTAAACAATTCAAAATATTTGAAATAATTTTATTTTATGTATCTCACAATTAAATTTAGAATAAATATTTATTTTATAATTAAATATCAATTATTTTCCACCAAACATCCCTCCATTGCCTGGCCACATTTGTCCCATTCCCATTTGTGGCATACCTCCACCAACACCTCCCCATCCTCCTCTAAATGACATTGGCATTCCTCCCCAGAAAGGACGACCCCAACCTGATAAAAATTTCAAATTATAGTTTCTATCTAAAATAATAAAGAGCCCTTCAGATTTTTAGCTTCTGTTTATTGAAAATAATTATACTTGGTTCTTGAAGGAAAAACTTTTCCAGTAAAAAGAATTTCAAAAAATCTTTAACAGATGGAAATCAGTGTGGTCACAACCAGCTACTGACCTTCGGTTTTTGACTAATCCAAATTACATAACCAGATTTTCGGTTTTGGTTTTTACTCAAATACATATTTATTTTGTAAAGAATATTTCTAACAACTTATTTTCAGAAATTAACGGTTTTCTATCTTAATTTCCCTCAAAATCACTTAATTTTTAACAATTTTCGATTTAAAAAACCGGTCATGACCACCTTATTCAAAATTTCTCCTTTTTTTACCTCCACCTCCACCACCACCCCATCCTCCTTCATTCATTTGCATTGGCCCACCCATTCCCCAAAACTGAGCGTTGATGTTTGTTCGATAAAATATTTGATAAAAAAGAAAAATTGAACGAAACGAATAAAATAAAGAAAAATTTATTATTTGCATTTGTATTTTTAAATAAATTTATTTACAAAATAATAATGAATACAGAAATAATATTATTCAAAATTTTGGTAGAAACAATTTAACAATAGAATGCCCAAAGACATTTAAGTGAATAAAACTCTTCAGAAATAAAAATAAATATCCAAACTTGTCTAAATATGCTTGAAGAAAGTAAAGATCCGTTTTGTATTTTTTTGTAAATTTTTAATAGTTTTTTTTGGTACTTTTCCGTTAATCGACCGCAAACTGAGTAACAGCCGAATTTTAACAGCTTCAATTTTTTGATGCTTGATCCAATACAGATGAATTTTAAATCATTCGAAAGCCCTCGATAAGCTCTCTCTTATACCCAACTGTATGGATCAGGTCTGATCACTCATAAAAAAGTTTTTTAATAAGATTATTAGTATTCAAAAATTAAAAGAATATTTCCAGAATTTATCAAATGTCGAATAATTCAAAAACTGATTTTCTAAGCAATTAATTACTTAAATTTTAATAGTCTTTTTTTTATTTAAAAAATAATTTTTTTAGAAATATTAACGAAATATTTGTTCACTTTTTTGCATGTTTCTCTACATTTATTGATTATTTCCAGATGACTCTTTAAAATTAAATTTATCATTTACTATTAAAGGCATGCGCTTATTTCTTAAACTTTTTTTCATTTTTTCCAATTTCTTTTAAGTGATCTTTAATTCTAAAAAAGTATTTAAAATTAAATTATTTCCCTGCTTAAATTAATTTACAAATTTTAAATAATTTTTTTCTTTTATTTTTGTAAATTTATTTAAAAGAGTTTTATTTGTAAAGAAAATAAATTAAATATAAAATAAATAGCTTTTAAAATAAAAAAAGAAAAACACGTGACAGGCAGCTGCTTTTGACAAAAAATATTATTATTATTATTTTCTCAAACAAAAATTCTTCAATGCCATCGATTGCTTTTATGAAGTGACATTTTACTATTTTTTGTTTCTTTAAAAAAATATTTTACTTCAATTACTTTTTAAATTAAAAAAAAATATTTTTACCTCCAACTGATATATTCATTTCTGATTTTTATTAGAAAACCCTCCACCTAAATCAATAAACTAACAATAATCTACTTTGATCTTTTTACTTTTTACTCTCGTCTATACTCCTTTACAATTTATTTTTAGTGCAAATACTTCTCAATTTTATTCATCTCTCTATCAAATTTATCCAAAAGACCGAAACATTTTATTTAGTGATTTATTGAATTTTAATTAAAAAAAAATTTTTAGATCTTTTTGTTTAAAATATAATCGTTAATCCTCTCAATTCTTTCCCTTCCTTTTTACTCATTTCATATCGTCCACAAATTATTATCAGTTAAATCTATATATTAAAAAATCTCTACTTTTATTTTGATTAATAAATTAATTACTTTAATTTTTAATGATAAAACGGTAAATTTTTTATTTTCTTTCCAAAATTAAATAGTAAAAGATAATAAATTAAAAATTGAGCAAAAATTAATTTTTTAAATGAAAACACTGCAAATATAAATTTATTTTTTAATAAAAATAACTGAAAAGGACAATTTACTTTTGGATTTTATTCAGTTTTGGTATAAGTATTTAAGTAATTTGGCAAAATTTGAGCTTCTTGAGGAGAACTAATCAAAAAAGACCTTATTGAGGGTATATTTGAGTTATTTGAAGTTAAAAGTTGGTAGTATGTATGAGGGATCCTGCCATCCTGATTCACGAAAACCGGGAATTCCCGACGTTTTTTAAGTCGGGATCCCGATGAAATTGTTAATTTTGGTATTTGTCGGCAGGATCCCAGGTATGAGGACTTTTTTATGAGAACTATTCTAATTTCCAATCTATAAAGACTTGTTTGTTTGTCATATTTTTTCTCCAATGATATTTGTAAATATTTTCTTTTATGAATCATTTGAGAATTTTTGCTTTTAATGCTTAAAATTACTTTTTTATTTCAAATAACTTTTCAATATTTTTTTGCATAAATTATTTTTAGCATTAAAAAACGTAAATATTGCTTTTCTATTTCCCATAGCAACGGTTGTGAATAAAATTAGCAGAAAAATTAAATGAGAGAAAAAGAGATAATATTTGATAAAAAAATTATATTGTCTATAAATAATTTAAAAATATTTTTGTCTTATCTTAACTTTTTCTTTTTTTAATTTTTAAAATTATATTTTTATTTTATCTGAGGTAATTTATGTTTAACCTTGCTGAAAAGAAAAATTTCTTGTTTAAATAAAAAAAATCGAGATACTTCCCTCCCCCTCATACATATTCCTTTCCACAAAATTCTTTTGTTCCACAACCCTAAATTTTCGCAATCCCTATTTTTCTCATTTGAAGTACCTAATTTAATTAGAATTTTCTTTTTCCAAATACATATTTATTTAATAACAAATTCTAATTTTAGATTTTAATAAATATTTTTTTTATAATTTTATTTATTTTTAAATAAATTAATGGGAACAATTACTTCTTCATATTTCGCTTATGGAAGTACTTGTGATGAAAATATTGACAACAAAAATAATTTAAATAAAAATGAAATATTAAAAGAAGAGATGGAAGAGGGAGAGAATAAAAATTGTTGTAATAAAAATAAAAAACCTTTACAAAAAAATGTTTTGCCCCTTTTGGGAAATGGAAGGTTTGATGTTGGTTGTGCTGATATTATGGTGAGGGGATTAATAGTAATTCTTGAGGAATTTAATTGAGGAAATTCTTGAAAATTATCCATTAGTTATTTATTCTATATCCAAAAACTTATCTAAATAACGGGTCAAATATACATATTTTTATTGTTAAAAATTGGTGGATAAACTCTATTTAGTGTTAGTATATGTACATAAATACTTCGATATAAGAGACATATGTTCTTTTGGGGTTTTCTATTGTATTTGATTAATTTAGACTTAATGGTTTTCCCTAATTTTTGTCTATATGTTTATGACTTATTGTTAATAAAGCTCCTGAGCCATAGCTATTTCTTTCCTTCAGCTAGTGCAAGAGGTTAATCGGCGGTTAGAAGCGAACCAGAAACTTCCGTAGACCGGACTTTTCCATTTTACACATTTTTGTTATCCATTACATCACGCCACCTACTGCACAACTTTAGTAATAAATAGCTATATGCTTTACAACTTGAGCAATTTTTTTCTTAAATGCTTTCAATAAATTCTAATTAATTTGGAGATTTAATTTAAAATTATTTAATTCTTTTAAAAGATTTTGAATGGAGAGGAGTGTTGTTGTTCATCTAATAATGATAAAGAAAAGTGTGAAGGAATTTTTGCTCGAATTTATTACCCTAGTGAAGCTTTAAGTCCAGATAAATACACAATAGAAAGGTTAAATGAATTTATGCAATGGAAGCCTGATGAGAAGGTTATTGAGGGATTGGCTGCTTATAAAGGGATGAGTTCTTGGAAATTAAATTTAATTTTGGATTGGATACTTGGCGATAAAAGGTGGAGAAAATATTTGGGGAAAATAATTTTTTTTGAATGATATTTTTAAATCATTTTTGTGAAGGAAAAAAATAATTTTTGGAGTAATTTAAAGGGTGGAATTTTTAATTTAAAAATTCGAATGTTGGAAAATTAAAAAAATACTGTTTTTTTTCCAATATAAAGACATTTAAAAAAAATCTTACTTTTTTAGAATCCCAGCCCGTTGGCAAGTCCCTCTTGCTAAATCTGAGGAACAATTTCCCGTTGTTGTATTCTCTCATGGAATTAGTGGAACTAGACAACTTTACTCAATTAATTGTTCTTCTTTGTCCAGTCATGGTTATGTTGTTGCTGCTTTGGATCACAGGTAAAATCTTCGGACAAAATCTCTTTCCGATTCACTTCCATTCCTTTCTAAACCTTAGGGTTGGGTTTTTCGAGTCGAGCCGACGTTCAAGTCATTTTTTTCGGGCAGGCCCGACCGAGTCTTTTTCGGGCCAAAATTTGCTGCCCGACTCGATCTTTCGGACCAAACCGGGCCCCCAACCCTCTAAACCTTCACTATGTCCCCTTCTGTTCCATTCTATATAATTTTCTTTTAATTTTTAGAGATGGCTCTTCTTGTTATACCTATGAATTGAATAAAGACCCGTCAACTGGTGAATTAATTCAAAAACATATTGAAATGAAAAAACTTCCACACGAAGAGCAAGAATACGAGAGTAGAATAGCTCAGGTTAATTAATTTTTTGTTCAAATTAAAAAAATATTTTTAGGTACAACAACGTACATTGGAAACAATTAACATGTTAAAATTATTTAAAAAATTAAATGAGGGATTGCGTAATTCAAATGTAGAAATTGTTTGTGGAAATGAATTTGATTGGGAACAATTTAAGGGAAGATTAAATTTGGATAAAGCAATTTCAATTGGGCATAGCTTTGGAGGAGCTTCAGCTTTGACTTCTTGTGCTGTTGAAAAGGGTTTTAAAGTATTTTTTTGTTGTTTTATTTGAATATAGGGAAGGAAAGGAAGAAGGTAATAAAGGCTGTGTTTAGTAATTCAAAAACATATTGAAATGATACAATATATCAGGCCCGTAGCCGGGGAGGGCCTTCGGCTTACCTTTGCCTTTTGGCGCCAAAAATTCGGCTCTGAAAAATTTTCCCCTCTTGCCCCCCCCCCCCAAAAATTCTAGTTATGGGCCTGGTTTATATTTGTTAACTTCACTAATTTGTTACAATAATTTGAAGGCCTCTGTGTCTATATATTAAATTTCCTTTATTTAAAGTGTTGTGTTGTTATGGATGCTTGGCTATATCCTTTTGACTGTAAATATTACGAAGAAATTACCCAACCAGTTTTAATGTTAAATGCGAGTAAATGGCAATGGCCTATGAATTTGAAGGTTTTTCTCTTTTTAATCTTTTTAAAATAATATTTTTTAAAATTATTTTAAGAGATTGTTGTATTTACAACAACAAAATGGAGGGGAAGGGAAATCAATGTATACATTGACTGATATTGTGCATCAATCTTTTTCAGGTTTTTTAAAGTTATTATTGGGATTTTCCCTGGGTTTTCTGGGCGGGAAGAAAGTGAGAGGTTGGTTGTTCCTGGGAAATATTCGGATATTCAAAAGCAAAAATACATCTTTTTTCGGTCCCGAATGCCCAGAACGGGGTCGCTTTAGTATACCTACACCGAGATCGGAACTCATAATATATACCATTCGATTCGTCTCGCCAAGCTGTGTTCAAATATGTAAGAATTTTAAGTGGGAGACGAAGACTCGCAGAACTACAGGCGACCTTAGTAGAAGCCCAAAGAACCGTCTAAAACGTCTTTTTTTCAGATTTGGGATTACTCACTCCAGGAAGAATTGGCAAATTTATGGGTTTTCAAGGTCAACACGACCCCGAATATTTGGCAAATATAATTATTCAACTAATTACAACATTTACTGAAGACCCAATTAATTCTAAAGAAAAATTAAAAGAAATTTCAAAAACATTAAATTGCCCAGTTTTAATTGAAGGGACCGACGTTCCTAGAGAAAAATTGGATGAAATATCTCTCGATTTGGCTGAAAATCATTCTTCAGAGATTGGGGAGAATGAAGAAAGAATACTTCATGAATCTGGGGAATAAATTTAAACAAAAAGATGCTCAAAATTAATTTTTTTATTTTTAAATTTTTTCATAAAAAATAATAAACACGATTTTTAAAAAATATTTTTAATGGTTTTTTAAATATTTAAAAATAAAAAATAGATGGTTTTGCCTTAATTTATAATTTTTAATGAACCTATATTATTTAATGACTTGTGTTAAACTCTGATTCTTCTCATTATAATTTTATTTAATTTTAAAGGCAATTCAATTTTTATAAAGGCAACACAAACGCCTTCTGGCTGACTGTTAAGGCTTAACTGACGTCGACTTTACACACAAAAACGACAATTCTTGTTACCCCTATTTCAACCTATTTCGTTTATTCCTCCCTTAAAATTCGCAGCCCGACGATTAACTTAATTAACAAAAAATTTAAAATATTTTAATCAAAAATTACAAAAAAATCTCGATACAATTTATAGAGGTTGACAAACTTTAAAATTTTTTTAATCTTTGGCAAAATCGAAACAAACCCAACAAATCAATCAAAGGGAGAACTCACATTTGGACTCTCATCTTCTTCAGTCACCAATTGCAAAAGAAATGGTCGACGTGCACAACGAACTTGTTCTGGCGGAGATTTAAAAGCAACATCAAACAAAGAATCATTTAAGCTGAGATCTTTAAGGTCCTTAAACTAAAAAAATGCTTTATTTAAATATATGAAAACAAATTTTATGGTAAACCTATAGACTAGAAATTTAATTATAAAAAAGGAAAAAACTGTCTACCCTTTATGAACATTCAAACTCAATCTTGGAAACCATCCGTTAGGAAACGAATATCCTAAACCTCTCCTAAACTTTTTCTCAATTAATTTTAGCTTATTCGCCCCCACTGTTAACTAATTTAGGGTATTTTTAATATTCTTCCTCTTCTTGCTTTAGAGAACTTTGTCCACCCAATAACCCAAATATTAATTTTTGAAGATGGGGATTTGCAAAACTGGATCCAATTAAAAATAAAAACGAACGTCAGTCGTGTTGTCATTGAAAAATTTGTCAGAACAATCAGTACTATTTTTGCGATCATTTTCCTCCAGAGGTTTCCACTCTAATTTCGTAGCCTGCTCTTTACATTCAGAAATTGTACGAAAACCTCCAAGAGCCCTTAAAATTAAAAAAAATTTATTTAATTTTTTGAGAAAAATATAAACTTTGCTATGCGCTCCCAGTGGGCATCTGTTGTTGGATTAACTGCGGCTTTGAGTGCAATCTGAAAAATATTAAAATAAAAAGAATTTTTAAAAATAATAAAAAAATATTTTTACAGCAAAAAATACTTAATGATTCCCATAAAAGACCAAAAAATTTATTGTTAAATTTAACCAAAAAATCCAAGACGGACCAATTTCCCAATTTTTACTATTACCTAAATAAAAAAAAATTCCATTCACAAACCTTCAATTTATTAGATTCTTCTCTAGTCCAACGCTTCCTTTTTGGCGTTTTCATCTCATTATTTAAATTTTTCTTAGAAATTTTTTTCGTAGCAGATGAACACATTTTTGGAGACTTTGAAGGTTCGGGTACCTTTTCTGGACTAGAATTTCGTTTAATTGGTGTTGCATCCGGTCTCTGATCAGAATAAATAATTCTTCGAAAAACTCGTTTTCCACGAAAAATAACTGGAGTTGGCGTTGCTCTTGGAGTTTTTTGTTCATCATTTCCAGAATCAGAAGAAGGAGAATAATCGACAAGTTTTAAAACATTCATTTTCGATAAAATATTATTGTCTAAAAGAATTGGAAATTAGAGAAATTACTTTTGCAGAAAAAAAAGTAAATAACGAAGCCATTTAATTTTTAAATTTTAATTAATTTACTTGAAAGTTTTCGTTTCGAAATTTTATTTTCAAATTAAATACAGTATACCGGCAATATATTTACGATCACTTGTTAAAAAACCATCAATAACTCGATTAATTGGTAGAAAATTAATTGAATGGTACATATTTATTTTTAAGGCTCCGGTACAAAATATGGAATCGTTAAAATATGGAATGGTTAAAATCGCGAATAGGCTAAAAAGGGGTTAAAATACCGAAACGTTAAAATATGGAAACGTTAAAATATCGAATCGGGTAAAAAAGGGTTAAAATATGGAATCGTTAAAATATGGAATGGTAAAAATGTCGACACGGCTAAAATCTGTCAAAATGTCGAATTCTTTTAAAAAAGGGTCATATGAGTGCAATACGCTGATTGTTGATGACAACTTATCAACTTATTTTTGATAATTTGATTGATAAGTTTCGTATGTCGTAGTAAAATCAAAACTAAGCAAAATAAAAATTTTATATTTCATTTAAAATCACCGAACAAAAATCATTAAAGCTAGAATCATTGAACAATAAAATAATAATCAAAGTCAATAAAAAAATAATAAAAAATAAAGTAAAATATTAATAGATAAATAATGAACTAGAAGCGTCTAAATAATCTTGACTAATAATTTGACTTTCCAAAGTTGCACTATCCACACCATCTTCAGTATCACGTTCTTCCTGTTGACGTGTAGCAACTCGCAGTCCCTCAACATAACCACTCATTTGTAAGCCAAGGAGCGTTAGAACATTCAGAAGTTGTCTATTATCATCGTATTCGGCTTCATTTAGCTTCATTATTCGGCTTCATTAATAGCACGCCTTACTTCTCTCAATACTTCCTGATAATGAATTGTCTTTTTTGTTGGAAGAAGGGCTTGGACACAAACAACAATGCGACCTCGTACAAAAGCACCAATACAAAAACATTGCGCAAATGGCCTTGGGGCGGATTTGAAGGTGCCATCACAGGCCCAATGCTTATTTTGAGATAATATATCGAGCAACTAAATTTTTAAAAATAATACTAGTTCAAAATTATTAAAATTAACCCTTGCATGGCTAAAGACAAGAACAACATCCTCATTTCCACGCTCATCTCTACTGTCGTAAATCAACGTTGATGAGTTGTATTTTTCTGTCAAAAACGCTGGAATGACCATTTTTCCAAGATCCACACAATTAACGTTCCCAAACTTTTGCTTTTTTTGCCTAAAATGAGGGTAATTTATTGAAAGAAAATAATGAAAATAAACCTCTTTATAAGCTGATTTAAAGCATCATCACTACCCAAAGCAATGTAAACTTCATCTGGGATATTTGCTCGTACTTCTCCCAGAATTGGTCTCTTATCCTTCTTCAATCTATTTCTAAGCTCTTCACAAACTTTTTTTTGAATTGCTGGAGGATGATTATGCTCTTTTTCTCCTAAACTGCCAATAAATTGGCCATTTTTCTCTTCAGCTTTTGCAGTTGCCTGGCAGTCCAAGTTTGAACAACGCCAATGAATATTTTTACTCTTGACATATCGATACCCTCAAAAAATCCATTTTAATAATTTGATATCTAGCTCAAACCTGCATGCCAAAGGCTGACGCCACCCTTCTGTGTAACTCCTTGTTCAAATTTTGTCAGATTTGCTCCATAGCATTTTTCATTTTCTCCATCAAGATTTGCTTCTGGTTCTTGTTCATTTAAATCAGAAGTATCATTGATTTGTAATCGTCGTTTTCGAGTTTTTTGTAATTTTGCTAAAGTTGTTCGTACATCCATTTACGGATAAAATTCTAAATTAGAGGTAAAATCTATTAATGAGGTAAAATCAGTTGCAGAAGACGGTATATTTAATCTGATTTTGGCCGTGTCGACATTTTTACCATTCCATATTTTAACGATTCCATATTTTAACCCTTTTTTAGCCGATTCGATATTTTGACCATTCCATATTTTAACGATTCCACATTTTAACCCCTTTTTAGCCTATTCGCGATTTTAACCCATTTTTACCCGATTCGAGATTTTAACCCTTTTTTAGCCTATTCCATATTTTAACGATTCGGTATTTTGTCCGGACACGATTTTTAATGATAGATAAAGTCTACTGATAAGAAAGTAAAAGCATAAAATGAATGTTTTTGTGATGGGAAAGTATATTAAATGAAAAATAGAAAATAAATTAAATTTCCTTCATTTAAATAGAAATTAATGGAGAACCAGCAATAATTAAGTTTATATGATGCATTCTTTCTCAATCTATTTTTCCCAAAATACCCCTCTATTTGCCGTATTCACCAAATCAAACGAAAAGTTTAAGTTTTTATACAAAGATTGTGAAAATGATGCCATCTTTTCAGGCAAAATTATGTCATATTGCCGGAAATAACTCGGAAACTTTAAAAATTATTCTCCAGAATTTATGTGTCGTAAACAATTTGATAATATTCAAAATATATTTTTTGAAATCATGTTTCACTTTTTATCCTTGTGAAAACATTGATTAAAAGTTAATCTTCTCGTTTGAAATGGTGCCTACAAAATATAGAGGTTGATTTTGGGAAAGATTAAAAATGAGAGAAAATGCGTCACATAAACTTAACTATTATTGAAATAAGTAATTTTAAGAATGAATTCAATTTTAAACTTTTATTTAATTTTTACAATTTATTGTTTTTTATCAGTCCATGCATTCTATGAAGATTCTGAAGATTTTTCATTTATTTTGGAAAAAGAAAAAATATCAACACCAATTCCTGTTGTGATTTGGCATGGAATGGGTTGGTTTTTAATAAATAAAAATTAAAATATTTGATGGATTTGGATAAATAATATTTAAAATTAATTTTATGGATATTGTAAATATTGTAAATATCTCTATTTTACAAATTTTAAAATTTCAATTCAATTCTCTTCCTCTATACAATAAACTCCCATTAGTACCATTTAATTTAATATATGCGATAGTTCATTTCCAGCAAAAGTTAACAAAGGCTGGTACATTTGTGTCAATTTTTGATTTTTCGTGTCTCTAATAACGAAAATTAACTAAAACTAAAACACAATAAATATATTCTAATATTAAAAACATAAAAAGGTGATTCTTGTTGTAACCCTCTAAGTATGTATTACATCAAAAAATTAATACAAACAAATAT